AGGTCAGGGCTGGGGCCTGCTGGGGAGCCTGGGCGAGGGACACGACGTCCCTAAGGGGAAGGGCGCAGGGTGGGGCTGTGCCTCAGCCCCCCTGAACCCCTGCCCCCTGCCCCCTGCCCAGGTCTCATGGAGACGTCCAAGCTGACCGAGTGCCTGGCGGGGGCCATCGGCAGCCTGCAGGAGGAGCTGAGCCAGGAGAAGGGGCAGAAGGAGGCGCTGCTGCGGCGGTGCCAGCTGCTGCAGGAGCGTCTGGACCTGGCCGAGGCCCGTGCCGAGGGCCTGAGCCAGCTGGAGGCCGACCACAGCCGCATGAAGCGCGAGGTCAGCGCCCACTTCCACGAGGTGCTGAGGCTGAAGGACGAGATGCTCAGCCTCTCGCTGCACTACAGCAACGCGCTGCAGGAGAAGGAGCTGGCCGCCACGCGCTGCCGCGGCCTGCAGGAGGAGGTAGGTGGCGCCCTTCCCCTGCGGGCCCTGGTGCTGTCTGCCCCAGGGCCTTTGCACTTGCTGGTCCGTCTCCTGGGACTCCCTCCCCTCTTCCTTGTCCAGCACCTCCCTGCCCCAGAGTCTTGGCTGAGGCCACTCCCGGAAGGTGGTCCCCTGGGTAGCCTACATGGCAGCGAGGTGCGCCTGGCCCGTAACCGCCCCTGGACTGGCCTGGCCTGGCCGTGAACTGCGCAATCGCCAACGCCTGGAGTGGGCCTGGCAGTGCTGGGCTGCGTATCGGCAGATCCGCCTGCGGCCGCTGCCCAACCCCAGCAGTGACATGGGACAGTCGGTCTCTGGCATCTTCCTTTGTCCTCCTCAGCGGGTCCTGGGGTCACGTGGGCAGGACAGTTTTATCAGGCTCAGCCTCCGACACCTAACAGTGTCTTTTACTCGTTTTTTTGGTTGGGAATAATGATTTTATCGATTCGTAAGAGGTCTTTAAATATTGAGGATGTTCATTCCTTGCCATTTTATTTGTCGTTTGCCTTTAATCATGACATTTGTTGTTTGTTGTTTTTAATTTTTGAATTTTAACTTTTTATTTAGAAATAATTTCAAATTTTTAAAAAACACCCAAAAATGGTACAAAGAATACCCATACACCTTTTATCATTTGCACTTTTTTCTCCCTGCCTTTCCCTGTCTCTCTCCACACATACCCCACAC